AGAGTTAAAGGATTGAAGAAAGCAATGGAGAATGGGATCTTGTCTCCCGAGCCACAACCACTAAGGAAAGAAGGATGGGGTACGGCAAGAATGTTATCGCCGAGGAGAAAAGATACTGACTGGATAAAAAACGATCAACCTGAGGAAGATAGAGCACCAGAAATGAAAGACTGGAGGAAAGAACTGAAGCCTTTGAAAAAAAACATCTGGGAAACCGAGAGGGGAAGGAAGGAAGGGGTGAGGACGGAGACATTGCCGGAAAAGAAAAGTCCACCAATGAAGGAGGACTGGATAAAGGAGCTGAAGTCGGTGATTAAAGACGAATCCCTGCCCAAGAAAAAAGACGAGCAGGTGAAGAGAAAGCGAGTGGTGCTGTTGGAGGATGGCCATTCATACATCCCTCAGCGGGAAGAGATGACTGAGGGGAAGAGGGAGGAGGTGAAACTGATCTCCCACAGAAGGGTGGAGAGCCCTTTGCCTCCTTTGCGCAGGAATAGCAGAACACCCCAAGACCAGGACTATGAGATTTCACTTTATGTCAAGGTAAGATGCCTTATGAACATACACACACGCCGACAACAGTCCAACAACTCCTTCAACCCCTTCAACCATCAACTCTCTGATAAGACCTATAGGAGTGACCCAAATAGCGTGCCTACAGCGACAGGCAGACCTCATTTGTCATGGTTACAGTAATAAACATGAAGACTGTACTGACAGCAGTGTACCTACCTTTGTCACCATGGTTGGTCATGGCTTGGCTAGGTTTAGGAACGGTTGGTGGTTTGGATTAAAATAAGTACTTCCTCAACATTATACTATCTTTGTTGTCATTGTTACAATATAAACAGCCAGTTTCACATGGGAATCGAACGACGCTCTCCTGAGTCATATTCATCCATCCACCAGAACCTCCTCTTGATATTGAATTTGTTTCTCTTTATACTACATCACCGCGCTTTTCCCTTTGCTCCTGTCAATTACTACGACCACTAGATGTACCCTGGCAACAAAACTTTTGGTCATCACAGATTACCTATGGGCTCTTTCTTTACAAGACAGTCTCCAATAGTCACACATTGTCAACACAGCTTTCTTATTCACTTCATGGCGACCACTGCTTTGGTAGAACAGAGGTCCCAATGCAGAGGGTCATCCTGCAGAATCAGGGTCATCCAGCAAAAATGTTGAACCTCGGTTAACTTTTGCTGCAATGTACTGCAACATCTAGCAATTTGCTACATAGGCCAATCAAATGCCACATTTTTGGAAGTTTGTTACATGCCATAATTCAATTCAATTCAATTCCATTTTATTTGTATAGTGCCAAATTGTAGCAAACATTATCTTGAGGCACTTTACAAGGCAAGGTCAAGACATGACAAAATTGTGACAAAAAACCCATTTCCAACATTTCCTACAAACAGCAGCACTTGGTGAAAGTGGGGAGGAAAAACTGCCTTTTGACAGGAAGAAACCTCCAACAGAACCGGACTCAGGGTCAGGTGGCCGTCTGCCTCGACTGGTATACCCTCCACAACAAAGGAAAAGAATCCTGTCTTATAGCAGTATAAACTGCTGATGTCTGACAGGCATTTAATTTCATTTGATGTCCACATGGAGAAGTCACTCAATGCTTGATGTACACTTACAGTTAACGAGTTCACCCATGATGTTACTGGGGTTTGTGGTCCTTTCCTTAAACTGGATTTCCCAGTTGGTGTTTCATCATCTCACTGGTTCCTGAAGGAACAATTGCAGCCACTTGTGTTTTTTGAAGTTTGGGAGATGCACTTCACTTGTACTCTACTGAACGTATTCTATTAGTCTAGCCCATCTGTTAGGCTGTGGGAACCTTAATAGTTTGGATAGATCATAGGTAGCCAACTGAGTTAGGCCAGTTCTGGCTCTGATCCAGACATGACTTTAAGGTCAGGGTTCAGTTTGAGCTGAAAATCTAAATGCTCCAATCAGAGGTATTTGAACAGTTCTGGACTAGTGCACTTGGACCAGTTTTTGAACACCATTCATCAGGAGGCTGGCATAACTCTAGCAAACATGTATGCCAGATTTAGGCCACTGTTCAGCAAAGCTATTTTGGCCCAGGGAGGTAGTCCTGCAGCACACCACGGTAAAGTCACTGTAACCTACAACACAGCAAAGTAACACAATGGAAGACACTTCACCTCAGTCCACCAAGTCCTGTACAGCATTCATGTAGCTGTTGAATATCAGTGTGTGTGTATGTGATGCAAAGAGAGCAAGTGAGGGAGACACCCTATCTTGATCTTCTTACCTTATCCCATTAAGACAGTGATATCCTAATCCATCAGGCATGGTAGCCTACATTCCTGCGTGTGTTCACTTCTAAAGAACACACTATAATTTAACTTTAATAAACATTATTGTATAGGTCATCTTAACCTGCACACACACATGCATGCACACACACACAGAAGTCTTTGCTTTAGCAGCACATTCCTGATGGAGGTGAGAATAAAGAGGGCAGCCCAGCTGAGAGGTTTAACGCCAAGAAAAAATGCACTAATATCTGAGAGCTGTTTCACACACACACACACACACACACACACACACACACACACACACACACACACACACACACACACACACACACACACACACACACACACACACACACACACACAAGCTTGTTCTCTGTGGGAGCTCACAGTGGAACAATGACGTCCTTTGTCAGGGACTCTGCTGGCAGCACAGACTGAGGGACATGGAAATATTATGGAGACGTTCAAACATCAGTGTTAGTTAATGTAGTTCAGACTAGCTCCACCGACACTGGACCAACCAGTCAATACATGTATATATTCATCATAAAGACAGACTGCATGCTGTTCATGTATCCAGGACACTAATGACTGAAAATACAACAGCACAGTAGCATGCAGGGTTAATCTCTGCATTCTCACCCCGCAAGCTGATTAACCTGCTGTTTGGAGCTGAGAGCTGTGGGCACAGAGATGGTGGAAACAACACTCACTTCAAACTTAACACTGCATTTACATTATGTTCACAAGCAAGGACCAGGGCTGACTCATCCAGGTTTACTGGGTTATTAATATACAGTATGAGGCTGATATTGAACTATGATTCAGTCTGTCAGTCCACTGTTGATCCCCTACCATGCTCCCAGAGTAAATAAAAGGATTCTTACTGTGGAGAGGGTGATTAAACTCAACTCTGAGAGGTAAGGAAAGTTATCATAGAGGAGGAGCAATTTCACCTGCATGGGTTCAACTGGACATGTTGTACCATGCAAAAGGTGCAGAGTGATAGCAGTCTGGCGGAGGAGAGAGATGTTAGCATGTGATGAAGGTTAGAGGCTGAAGACCAGGGGCCAGTTGCACAGGTTAAGGTTTCCTTAAAATAAAATCAGTTGCACAAAACACCCTTAAGTCTTCTCATTAAGGTATCCTTAAAATGTTCACTCAAGTAAGGATCAAGTAAGGATTTCTCCCTATCTTATTCTTATACTTTAGGAATCACTTTAAATCAGTTTAACTGTTGCACAAAAGACTTTATGACCAAACAAAGGAAAAAACGTATAAACTCAGTCTCATCATGACTGAGTTTATGGTGATAAATGAAGGAAGTGAACACATCAAAAGGCGACCAGGAGACACTCTTAAATCTCTTTCACAACTGCAAATGCCTCAGCTTTGTTCCTCAAATAAGGAAACCATTTAAGAGATTCTGTGCCACGCCCTTAAGTATCTCCCTCAGCTTAGGAAAAATCAAACCTTAAGTGTAATACTTAGAACCAGCAGAGTGAGGGGAAACTTCATTGGAATAATACTGAGCTTTGATTTTTACATCACTGCAATAAGAAGTTAAAGCTCAGGTTGTGATGGTTAGGGCATGTACCACATGGACATGATGAGTCCTGAGCAACAGGTCCCCGGTTCAACTCCCGGTCGGCCCTTTACTGCATGTCTCTCTCTCCTATTCCATGTCTGTCTCCACTTTCCCTGTCCAATAAAGACATAAAAACATAAAGAAGCTCCATTAAAATGGGATGAAGTGACATCTGACTGAGAGGCCAGTGTTTCCTGAACGCTACATGAAAATGTGACCATTTCCCAGAACTCAGAAGAGCTGGCAGAGAGGGAAAAGGGATATCCATCTATGAAAAGCTTCCCTGATAGTGCCTCCACCCGCCTCACAGGAAACCATGATGGTGCGGCATCCACGTAGAACTAAAGCCTGGGTTGAGGAACAGGAAGTGAAGGGTGGTCTTACATGACATCAGCTGTTCAGTACATGTGACTCTGCTCTGGTAGAATTTCAACGATATTTGAAGAGTGATTGATCGGCTAAGGAAGAAAGATCATTGGTCAGATATGGTGATGTCAGGATTTGATGGTGAGGGAAACAGGAAGTGATTGATAGAATCAGGAGTGTTTATCCATTGCCAAACTTATACTTTCTGGTGAGTTGTTCAGTGTTGAATTTAAAAGTAGTTGCAGCTTTAATATAAATTTAATAACAAAACAGAATTGGCCTTTAAAAAAAACATCCAAGTCTGATGAACTCAACACACAAACAAAAGAGCAAACAACAGAGCCTTCTCAGCTGCTGTGAGTGTCACAAAGATCTTTCCATCCCTGCTGTAACACGCATTCCCCCATATGTATATGTGTGTGTGTGAGTGTGTGTGTGTGTGTGTGTGTGTGTGTGTGTGTGCTGCAGCTGAGATTCCATTGCCTCCCACTCCTCTGAAAAATGAAGGAACTCTGTTCAACTTCACACAGAACAAACTACAGTACACACACGCTGACATACCACAGAGAGTCAGTCCACTAGCAGTCACACACACACACACACACACACACACACACAACCACACACACACACACACAGACATAGACAGACAGACAGACAGTGGTTGGTGGTTGTCATGGTTTCATTGGAAGATGACACGACCTCTGATGTGGATTAACTGATCTTGACCTGAACTCTTCACCATGTCCTGGTTTGACTTAGCAGTTAGAAAACTGGGCTTCCCGACCATTGAGTTGTTTGTGAAGGTAAGTGAAGCTTCCTGCTGATCATATTCACAGAGCCAACAGTCACCGTCAGAGCCTTTCTACAGGATACACACAGGACAGTTGGGGTATGGGTGGGGTTTGATGACTTAATTGTCCACCCTCTTTTTTGTCTCTGTGGCAGCTGCATGGACTCTTTTAGTGACATTAACGTTTGCATCAAGTTGTCAAGAAACCCTGTTTTGCATGCTATGTTGCTAGTTAGCATGCAACTCCTTCCTGTTCCTGTTTCACAACACATTTTATGGGCTGCACTTCACCAGCTCGCCTGGAACATCTACAGTTTCACAACTATAATGGAGTGTTAGGAAAAAAAACTAAATCTGAAATGTATATATTATGAGAAAAAAGTCATAATATTATGAGAATAAATTTGTATTATTACAATAATATGTCATATTTTGAGTATAAAGTTGTAATATTACGAGAATTAAAAATGTGAAATTTCGAGAGAGAAAAACATAATTTTTAGGAATATTACATCAACCAATCAAACAGGTGGACAGTCAGTTGCAGCAGCTATTTGTCTAACAATAGAATAGACTCAGTTTCTTCACAATCTTTTTAATGTCCTAATGCTGATGATGATGCTGATGATGATGATGCTAATGAGCTAAAAAATGAAAAGAAATCTCCTTATTTCTTGAAGTAGGACTTCACAGGATGCTCCACGTTCCTCATTTTAAAGATTCTGTTATTTCCCCTCTAACACAGAACCTAAAATGACAACTTTATTCTCATTATATTATGATTTTATTCTTGTAAAATTACCACTTCATTCTCATTGTATTATGACTTTTATTCTCTTATTATTATGACTTTATTCTCAAAGTCAGTGATTTTTTCTCTCCCAATGTCGCCCTAATATACTGTTTGTCTAGACATTGTTTTTTCCCTGTAAACAAACAGAGACACATTGTAAAGGACAAGGAAACATCAGTTTCTCCTGTGTTGTGCTTGGGAACCAAAGTTTGATGGGAACTAAAGTTCACAGGTTGTTTTCTCACATCATAGCTCATTATCATAAAATTGCCAGGACACACCGCTCAAGATGTGGTGCCAATGGGAACACATAGAAAATGAATAACTTTCTGTCATCGTTGACCTTTGGGAACAGTGGGGTGTTAAAACAACTTGATTTTTTTGAGCTTTCAGCTGCATCTCATGGTCTTCATCAGCAGATAGTGTATACTCAGTTGTCACAGAGGTGACCCAAGTGTAATCATGATGAAAACAAGTGTGGTGGATATGGAGGAGGATGGTGATGTCTGTCCCTGGTGTCAGTTGTGATCTTTCTCCAGTCATCCATTGACACAAGGTTGATGACCTTTGACCTTTGTGTGTCTCTTTATGTTTATATATGTATGTGTGTGTGTAGGCGGGAAGTGATGGGGAGAGCATCGGCAACTGTCCATTCTCCCAGAGACTCTTCATGATCCTGTGGCTGAAAGGAGTCATCTTCAACGTCACCACTGTCGACCTCAAACGGTAACAGACTCCACACACTGTTCACCAGAGGGAGACACACACACACACACTGTTTACATGGCACGGATAAAAGGTCATGAACCAGCTGACCAGCCCTCACCTCACTGATGCAGCAGCAGGTCTATTCTGTGTTGTGTGTTTTCAGGAAGCCGGCTGACCTCCAGGACCTTGCTCCAGGAACCAACCCTCCTTTTGTGACCTTTAACGGAGAGGTCAAGGTCGACGTCAACATGATAGAGGAGTTCTTGGAGGCAAAGCTGACTCCACCAAGGTACAGAAACACATCCATCAACAGCACATACACCAACAAATCCTGTTTTCACTGTTTTTGTCAGTGGAGTCTGGGAGAGTTATCCCTTTCCCTCTGAGATATTCTGGAGACAGCTGTTTCATAAGGTGGCCAGATATCTGAAATGAAACCGGGGCATTTCCAATTCTGCCGTCAATATATCATTAAAATATCCAATGTTTTTACCTATGAAATAAAAAAGTCGTCAGACAGTCATGTATTTTGACCATGGTAACTGTTGTATTGTAATAAAGTATTGCGAAGGCTGAATAACTCAGTTGGCAAAAAAAAGTGCAACGCTAGACTTTTGTTTTCAATTACAAATGTTAAAAATGGGGACATTTCCAGGGACAGCTCAAGACCAGATATCTCTGTTTTCAGAGGACAGTCCGTTTTTTGTGGCCTGTCTCTGGAAAACTACTGTTAAGAGTCACCCTACTGTTTCAGCTGATAATACATTAGGAAACGTCAGTTCGGCAGGTTGACTCAGCTGACTGCTCTCATGTGTCTTTAAATGAAGCTACCCCAGACTGGCTCCGAAACACCGTGAGGCCAACACAGCCGGGATCGACGTGTTTGCCAAGTTCTCAGCTTACATCAAAAACCCGAGAAAAGACACCAACGACGGTAAGACAGGATCAGAGTTAGGATGGACAGAGGAGAGGGTTCATATGATTTCACTCATGAGGAGTATTCTTCATAATGCTGGGCTAATACATATTCTATATAATTAGTATATTATACTCTATATATATTCACAAATATCACTAACTCCACAGCATTCCTTAGCAAATTGTTGTGGTTTAAACTAGATCAGAACTGATCTGGTTTCTATTTTTTAGCTTATTATTTTGGTCAATACATAAACCTAAACCAGCTAACAGCACATTAGCTAACTGCATGCCAGCTAACAGTATGACTGTTAACAGTATGACAGCAAACAGTATGGCAGCTAACAAAATATCAGCTAATAGTTTGACTGTTTACAGTATGTCAAATGACACAAACACCACTCCACATGAAGGCTAATGCTAATCTGTGTCTGTTGGACATGTAAATACATAAAACTAGTCTCTAACTTTATAAGGTGAGCTTGTTCTGCTGCCCGCAAGTGGCCTAACATATCAGTGCATGCGGCTTTAATAAGAAGACCTAGTCTTTTCTCTCTCTCGCTGTACCTGTCCATGCAGCATTAGAGAAAGCCTTGCTGAAGTCTCTTTACCGTCTCGATGACTTTCTGCGGACCCCCCTGTCTGATGAGATTGATGCGTACGCCTCAGGCGACCTGCCCGAGTCCTCCAGGAGCTTCCTAGATGGGTCTGACCTCACTCTGGCCGACTGCAACCTTCTGCCTAAACTACACATCCTGAAGGTCCAGTCAGCCTGGCTTCATATTTCACTGTCAATGTGAAGATAATCTGAGTATTTGGACTGTTACAGAACTAATGTCTTCAACTCTTGTTATTCTGTTTCTATTTTTAGGTCGTAGCAAAGAAATACCGAGGCTTTGAGATCCCGGTAGAGATGACGGGAGTGTGGAGGTATTTAAACTGCGCCTATCAGAGGGAGGAGTTCACCAGCACGTGTCCAGCAGAGAGGGAGATCGAGTTCGCCTACCTGGATGTGGCAAAACGAATCAAATGAGCAAAGTAAGAGATAAAAGACGTAGAAGAAAAACACAACAGAAGAAGAAAAGAGGAGGAACGACACTAACCTACACTAAAAAGTTGAGATCTGTATGAGTGTGTGTGTGTGTGTATGTGTGTGTGTGTGTGTTTGTGTGTGTGTGTGTGTGTGTGCGTGCGCGTGTGTGCATGTGTGTGTGCTCTCACAGGTTGGGTTGCACAGTCATCTACAGTATCCTATCCTAAATTAGAGATAATTCCAGATTCCAGAGTATTGACCATTCAGTCGATGGCAGGACCAGTTTCATCATAAATAACACACAACACGTAAACGTTATTATTCGATATTACAGTATTAATAATCACAAATCATCTATTAGAAAATCAGTCTAACAATCAAGGCTTGATTAACATTAAATTTGAGTTTAAACCTTCCCAGGTAGCAAAATGAAACTTCTGGCCCAACATCACCCTGGGTCCTTGGCCTGAGTCTGGCCCACATACTGTACTTCCACATCTGGGCAGAGTCTTGCTGTTATCCTCCTGTATTGTGTGCGCCAGAATTGGCTCAGCTGTAGAAGTAGCATCTGACAATCATGCTGTGTAGGGGGCAGATTTGGGCCACGGAACCAGGCATTTACTGGGCCAGAACTGGGCCAGAACTGGGCCATATTTATTTTTCTATCTGGGTTGAAAATATAAATGTGCACTTTTTTGAAATCATGTTCATGTGTGAAATTAAAAAAAAAGAACAATACATACTCTGTCCCATTAATTACAACCATTTAACAATATATATCTACTGTATCTATAGAACCTGTTGAGTAACAGAGCACTGGAGTAAGAGCCATCATATTATCGTATGAATGCTAAGGCCTTGGCCACCATGCATCTGGTTTCCTTTTTAACTGTAATAAGTCAGGGTAATTATCACTGTCTGATTATGTGTTCACTGGGTTCTGGGAGCCAATGATGCTGAGGGACCTTGTACCCAACCATCAGCTACACCTGCTTATGGGGTCACACTCACATTCACATCTGTGTAATACAGTCACACTATTTGTTATTCATTCAAATGTAAACTGTGTCAATATAATAATTGCAAAAATGTAATAAATGAAATATATGTCCCTATATCAAGAGTGATGTTGCCATATACAGTATGTCTCTGGATATATAAGGAGATAAGTTTTTAACATAAATGAAATGCCCATAGTAAAATGTGTATATAAATATATCTATATATCTATATATATATGTAAAAATGTAAAAATGTATCACACACACACACATAAATATATATATATATGATACATTTTTACATGAAAACACATACATCGAACACACATATTACACATTATGTATTCAATTTATTTATGCACGTTTTTTAAAACAACACACATGTTAAAAAAATCTATATGTTCATATATGTTTTTCTCATTAATTTATCATTAATTTTAAACATGTCTATCTTCACATTCTGGAAAAGTGGTCTCAAGACTTTTGGAACCCACTATTTATCAAATATATCAACATATACTGACAGGCTGTGGGATGGATATATATGTATGGAACATCTGTCCACAATATAAGTATATATATATATACATGAAATTATTCAAATTTCTTATAGGTTTCAAACATCATTTTTAAATATATGTATAAATAAAATAAAAATGGAATAAATAAATATGGAAATTCAGTATATAACATTTGTGTATGGGCATCTCTCTCTTAATGTTAATGAGTCAGGGGTCAAATGTCAACACCTGATTACTGCTCTGTATGTACTATACTGATTCAACAAAACAGTTTACTCATACTGTGATGATCCTCTGACAGTCCTTCTCTTGTATCTGCTGTTACTGTCTGAGTGTGGGCAGGTCTTATCTGGTACTGATCAATTACTGAATGATTAAAAACTCAGAGACCACAGTAATATTGTATCACAGCCCTCTTCTACTCTCTCAGTTGTCCCAGTCAGCATCAGCTGTTTTCAGCCTAAGATGTGAAAAAGTTGAATTTCTATCATTCAAAAGCCAACTTTATTAAATTAAAACACTGGTAATTTACAATTTATAATCATAAAATACATTTTAAGCAGAAATGGCTGTTTTTGGTTGTGTTTTAATGAATTTGGCCTTCATTAGACTTGACTAAAAGCAGTTTGTGGAGGTCAGAAAACAGTAGAAATCAAAGTCCAACCTCACACCAGAAACTAATACAACTTCTCCAGTTTTATTTAGGGCTCGACAGAAATGTTTCATTTTTTCTTATCTCCCTTTAATGCATCATTATGTTTTGTTTAACTATTGGACTGATGTGGTTCAGTATGTTTCGCTCAATAATGAACCCTGACACAGCTCTATGTTCTGGCCTTATATCTTTATTAAACTGATTTTATCACTGTATGTCTCTGTGTGTCTTTACTGTATTAGTCTGGCAAGTTGTTTCTCCCTGCTTCCAGTCTTTATGCTGAGCTAGGCTAACCAACTACAACAAGTGAATGAAGGTGTTTCCCAAAACTATTCATTTAAATAAAGATTTAATACTTGAATTTTAAATGAAATTTAAAATAGAAAAGACTTTAGAATTTCCCTTTTTGTTCAATCTTATAATTTATGCTTTAATATTAACAGTTTGTTTATCATTTGTTATCACTTTGACAGATCTATTTAAAGACACATACGCACTGTAGAACCAATATATTAATAGAGTCATACAGATCAGCAACAAGACATCTGATTGGCTGTTGTTCTGACCCTACATACTGTAAATGTTCCAGTTTATTATTAATGTTTTATAATTAAACTGATTGTTATTCCAATGTGCTTTTATTTTGAAAATCAAAATTTAGTTTAAAATTTTTTTTTTTTTTACTTTTGTGAAGTGATTGTATGTATAGAGTACACACACACACACACACACACACACACACACACACACACACACACACACACACACACACACACACACACACACACACGTGTAAACACTCGAGCATGTGCAGACACACACAATCATCACTGGGGCAACAGTGATGGGTGACCCCTACTGAAACCCCCCTGAATGTAATGACCCAGAGTTTACACACCCGGACGGCAAACACACACACAGCTCAGTTACCACAGAAACATCCAGAGGGGGAATGTCCCGCTGCTCGTACCGTGTCGGGACTAATAACACTGAGTAAAGTCACACTTCAAACACTATATATCTGCAGTTTGGGTCATAAATTAATTACCCAGAGTTCATTGAGTCACAGCCCTGGATCAGAACTGATCTGGTTTCTATATTTAAATATCTGATGTTACATCTGTCCAACACACACTCACAGATGTTTCTAAATTACAGATGTTTAATGAGGTGATGAATGGTCTGTATAGTGGCCCTGAAGTGCAAAACACATTTCATAAAACCAATCAACACAACAATTTACTAAACAAAACAGTGGTTTCTAACCTTAGGGCTGGGGCCCCCTGGTGGGCTATGAAAGTATTGCAAGTGGGCTTGCTTGTGATTATTAATAATGTAATATTAATGTTTTTAAATGTTTTAAAACAAAATGATCTTTAAAAACATTAAAAATGTTTAAAAACTCCTTTCATTGTTTTTTATTTTCAGTTCAGTACTGAATATTCCATCGTTATCATTAAAACTCAAACTTAATTAATATTTATTATTTCTTCTCCTGACTTTAATTTTGGAGGGGTTGATCCCTAAGAAGATATATTTGTGGTTTTAAAAACCAAGAACCGTCTCAGTGTAATTTTACATCGCCTCTCTCAGACTTCTCTCTGGAGCTCCAGTAATAAAAGGTCTGTGGTCTGATTGGCTGACTGTTTTCTGAGTGGTCCAATAAAAATAAAGCAGATTTCAGGTAAAACACTCAGAGAAACTGAATCGTGCAAGGTTTGGATGATGCGTCAAAGTGGGCGGGGCTTGGTGACTGCTTTGTGACATCACAAAGTTCAAGAAGTCCTGGTGGCTGGTTTTAAGGCTCAGTTTCTGAAAACAGGCTGTGTGCAGGTCTATTTAATGAGTTTATCATGACTTTTCTTTTTTTTTCTGAATTGGGTTTTATAAAGTGTGTTTTGTGATATTAATCATTTTCTTATTTCTAATTTTAGAATCAAATTCAAACCTTGATGAGACACAAACAACAAGCTGCCAACATTTCCAAAATAAATGAACTAAAATGAAGTAAATGTTGTGTGTGATGTGTGTTAAAAATGTCAAAATAAAAGTCTTTAGGAAATTATAATGATAATAATTGTTGTCATGACACAGCACTGATGTCATAATGAACAACTGAAGAGAGTGTAGCTGTAGAAAAATAAAATATCAATCTTTATTGTCAGAGGGGCTTTTTGCTGTGCTAGAGATTAACTTTATTTTGAAGTTTTCACACACACAAACATAAATGACGTGTGTCGGTCTGACAGGGAGAGGAAGGGTTAACAGGAGTTCACGTGCCGCACACGGGCACACATCGTCTGGTCAGGTTGGTCAGTCGTGTTAATTGACGAGTGGATGAAAAGGTCTGAGTCGAGTCTGACGCTGGCATAGGGAGGGGAAAGTGATGCCATGGCAACAGTCTCCTAGCACTCAGAGGTCAGAGGAAAGAGAGAGAGGAAAGGATGGAGGGATGAAGGATGTAGAGATGGTTTTAGGATGGTTATCAGGTTTTTCTCTCTATGACTTTTAGCAACTTCAAAAACCACTTTGTTTGCTCCACAATTTCAAAATAAGAGCTGAGTAAATTAGTATCACTGGACTGAAGGGACACACACAGTAGATAGACTGACCTTTGACCTCTGAGTGATGGTCACCTCCACTTTCCTGCAGTTTCAATTCTGAGTTGTAGCATGGGTGATGGATGGATGGATGGATGGATGAAAGGATGATGGATAGGTCTAGATGCTGATAGGTGGGTGAGGAGGACTAAAAGGGGGAGGAGTATGGAGGGACACCAACAGTGTCTGGGAATGATCAGGTTCTGGGAGTGATCAGTTCTGGGAGCAGTACTTCCAGAAACACACTGTTGAAGAGAGAGAAGAAGAAG